CTTTAGCAGGTGGTTGACTTTGTGAGTTGCCTTTAGCAGGTGGTTGACTTTGTGAGTTGCCTTTAGCAGGTGGTTGACTTTGTGAGTTGCCTTTAGCAGGTGGTTGATTTTGTGATTTGCTTTTGCCACCACTACCACCACTACCACTACTACCACTACTACCGCTACCACTACTACCACTACTACCGCTACTACCGCTTTTACCGCTACTACCGCCACTGCCACCAGAACCAAAATCTTGTGTCCAATAAGTACCGGCTTGAGCAAAACCAGCATCTTTGAAACCAGGGTTGAGAATATTGTCTCTGTGACCAGGTGAGGCCATCCAGCTATTCGATAAAAAAAAAAAAGAAGATAATTATAAGTAATAATTCAGAATTTTAAAATGAATATAAGAAATAAAAAATTAATTAATTAAAATATTTACCCTGCCATGACGGATTTTTCGTCACTATACCCTTCAGCAACATTTTCGCCAGCACTAGAAAAACTGTAGCCGTGTTGTTGGAATCTAGAACCCAAATCTCCAGCTGGGTCGTCATGAGTAAGTTTATTGGACTTTTGCATGAAATTAGAGTGATCTTGAGCTACATTACAAAGAGCGCTATAATAAATTTATGATTTTAAATATTCATATAAATAATAATAATAATAAAGATTAATAATAGCATAAAGCAAAAAAATTTTTAACCTTAACCTGATAATATTTTTGAATACAATTATGATGAATTAAAATTTTAAGACATACCTGTTTAAGCTAACAGGACCGGCACCGGCTTTTGAACGTTCAGCATTAACTAACTGAAGCATTAATTGTTCGTTCATACATTGAACGAATACGATGTTTGAAAACATAAATACGACAACTAAAAACGAGGTAAATGGTTTCATCTTGTTGTGTATGTGCGTTATTAAAAATTTTTTTTTACGTTAATGATACAGCTATCAAAGCTTAAGTGGGAGTTTTTTGAAATTCGTTAAAGAGCGCACGTCTTTCAAAGATCGTATGCAAGGATTTTTCACGGCGATATAGGGTAGAGAGCCAGGACAGCAGAATTAGATCTTTTTTTATAAGTTTTTATTGTCTCACAAAATTATTACAATTTTAATTATAATAATAATTTCAATCTATTTTGTGGGACACTGTCAAGATTAACTGTTAACAAAATAAAGTATAAGTTCAGTAGAAATCGAATTAAAATCATTTTAATACAGTACAAACTTTCGGAATGAAATTGAACGAAATTTCATATATTTGTGATAAAAAACTATAACACATTTAATATAATTGTTTAATTAGTGATTAATATTGTCAAACTCTGTAAAGAAAACTGTAACAATAATAAAAAACAAGAAAAAAAAGGTAATTTGCTCAAAATATTAAATATTTTGTTTTTTTTCTAATTTAATTTTAAAGATATGCATATTAAAAATATGCACAAAAGCATATATTGTTATACATATGGACGTACATTAAAACATATGCAAACTGCATTATATATATGTGCGTACATATACCTGATACGTACTGCACGTACCCTATATCTGATATGTATGTAAATCTTTTTTACGATTAACTTTGATGTACTGTACTTTAAAGAACACGAAAATTTGTGGACATTGGTAAGATAAGAAAAAGAAATATTATTCATAATTTTATGTATTAAATAATCATAAGAAAAATGTCTAATTAATTGCTTCAAGCACTCTCAAAATGTTAATATATATATATATATAAAATGTACAGGACATTTGTGACAGACGATAATTTTATAAAATAGGATATATAAAATAAAGATTATTCACTCATAAATTAAAAATAAATCTAATTAATTGGTTTTAAAACATTATATAAAAATAATAAATTCATTTAAGTCATTGAAAAAGAATACATTGATTGGTGAAACATTTGGATTGTTTATATTAATGTAGATTGTATTTTATCATAAGTTAAATTGTGGTTTATAATAAATAAAAGAAAGAAGCACATTTCTGAAACATTTTAAACGATTGTCAAAATGTCAAACAGTCAAACAAAGGATATTCTTAACAAAAAAAAAGAAAAAAAAAAAATCAAACGTTTCGTTTGAGAAATAAATTATGATTTGTCTAACAGTATTACGAATTAATATATTTTATATTTTGTGATTAAGGTATATACCGTTATTCGTGATATAAATCTCAAAAGTGTTACCATTATGCGTATGTACGTACATGCAGTATATCAGATATGCACAGAATGCCTAAAAAGTTTCAACCTTATTATATCTTAATTTTACTGCATAAAGTAATAAATACAATAGTAATACAATAGTAATACAATACGTAGTAATATGAATATGAAATACATATCAGACTGCATATAATAATATGAAAATACGTATCAGACTACAGCAGTCATTTCTCTCTAAACAGAAAAAAAAGCTCAGTTTATAAATGTACTTATTTAATCCGAACTTTATAATAATTAAGTAATCCATAATTGCTATAAATTGTATAACGTGATAATGGCGTAAAAAATTTATTGACCGATTTTAAGTTTATTTCATTTTAGATAACTTTTTTTTGCCAAGAAAATTTGCAGTTTTTCTTGAAAAAACTGTCCATACGATACTGTCATGTCTAACGCTAATCCAAAATTTCATAGTTTGTTAGTTTGTCATTGTCTTTCAAATACACAAAATTGGTTTTTTTTAGTATATTGTTCACATATCGATATAATCTTAAAATCTACTACTACTTCCCTAGTACTAGGTGGTAGTGGTGATCTCAGTTGTTATTACATATATAAGCAGTTGTACAGTATATACTCCCAATATTGATAGTAACTCGCTCATGCGATATACGGTATCAAGATCTTAAAAAAAAAAAAGACTAACCTTTTTATAGACAACTGGTTATAACGAACTTTCCTTTATCGAAATCCAGTTATATTAATATAACAATCAATTTAAGCCGGTTTTATCAATTCACTAAATTTTATGATGATGTAATTTGCTTTTTCCTTTCTGGCCATGCGTTTATTAAACGGAATTTACAAACTCAACTGGTTTTCGGACATGTGCTTTATTAAACGAAATTTAGAAAATTCTTTTCAACTAAACTTTTTTTTAACTACTGTATAACGATCAAATAATTTGTTTAGTAAGGAAATATAAACGGAACTTTCCGTCTAGGATAAATTTTAAAACTCCCGGAATTTTTGTGCTCTGTTTATACTCCAAATATTATAATTTCTATATACATCAACGCTGTTGATTAGTAATATATATCAAATATATATATTATTATTAATCAACTTGGTGATACAGTACTGTATATTGTCAAATATTGTATAACTACGCGACATTTATTACGAGTAATCAGATAAACATACGTACTGTACGTACGTACAGTACGTAATAGACGTTGGCAATTCTTTGTTGCTTTAGTTAAAAATTGCTAAAATTGCTTGGCATTAATTGTTTCATAAGGAAATTTTGATTTCAATTTTGGTTATTAGTTTCTATTTATGTAAATTGATTTATTCATTTCTTTTTATTTTCTGACAATCCGACTTAATCTATCTGCTATACTTTGTTTTTCTGGTTGCTATGCTATCAATGCTAAACATGAGTTAAAACACGAATTTTATTTATTTGATCCGATTAAGCAAAATCATGGTAAATCATATCGATAATTTAAAAAATTAGTTACTTATAACAACTTACTTAGTGTCGACAGTTAGATGTGTTCTAATTTTTTATCATTTTGTGTACCACTTTTTAAACATAAAGATAGCTGCGCTGCCGCGCAGGACCAGTACGATCATTGAACCTAGGTGCCGCACAAAAAATGTGTGGCAGATCCTCGATTTTGATTGGCTAACGGCCGAGGATCTTCAAAATTTTGACCTGCATTATATAATTGTTTACTAATTTCCGGCCGGAATTAACTTTTTAATTTTTTCTTACAAAAATAGAAATTTTTACATATTATGGTAAAACTGGCCCAGGAACAATTTTCGCTTAATAGGCGGTTGAGATTTCATTAGTAAAATCATGAGTAATTCCGGCCTAATTTTTTGATCGTCACTCTTAGCCAATCAAAATCGAGGATTTGCTGCACATTTTTTGTGTAAAGTTTCAATATAAGATAGCTGCATATTATCGCGCCAAAACCAGCGTAACGGTTGAATGGAAGTGCGGTTAATGGATGCGAAGTGTAGCTCCAATAAAGATGTTATGTGGATTGAATTATACAAGGCATTGTAAATCTATAAGAGCGACTTGATGATGATGATTATGATGTGAACTTAATGAGATAAAATCAATATGCTATGTTGCTTTATAATGTAGACGATTAATCGAAATAGGGCGATTTTACCGTTTTCGTATAGTTAATATAAAAGTTTCGTATTCATATCACCACGAGGTTTTCTTATATTTAGCCTCACGTCAACATTCATACAGAAGCTTTAACAATTACAATTTTAAATGATCAATAATATTCAGGTAAGATCATTCATTATGCAAAAAAATCAGCATAACTGACGGTCCTATTTTCTTTTTTAAAAATTCCGAATCAGGAAATTAAATAGGCATAGCCGGTGATAAAATTTAGCTTTTTTTTGATAAACATTCGATTAGGTAAATAAGTACATACTTTAAAGAAAATAGAATTTGTAAGTTGTTTATTTTGATAATACCCACATCAAAAAAAGAAAGTATAATAATTAAAGTGATCAGGAATATTCTGCTAATCGTTGTTCCGTGTGTTCAACCTTCTATTACCTCTTCGTTATTTGTTCACTGCCCCCTCCCACTTTATTAATAATAAAATGATCACTTTTATATATTTCAATCATTCCCGATTTAGATATTACATTATTAATCACAAAAATGTAGTAATGATCTATTTATGAATTATTACGATAAATGCAATGAAATAATCATAGAATATTCCCACCATACGATTACGATCAGTGCTGGCTTGACCAGACCAGTTTGATCATTGGACCAGACCAATTTGAACGGTCTGGTCAAAGGATCTGTACTGGTCAAATTGATCAAATTAGTATATTTAGATAATTTATTACATATATAATATATATAATATATAATAGATTTGACCAGTTCGACCACTTGACCAATTTGACCAGTAAATTTTGGTCGACCACTAATTTGCCCAACACTGATTATGATGTAATAATTACATATAATTATATATGATATTTTCATAATACTTAATAAAATAGAAAAAAAAAAATACCTTCTAAATCAGGAAAAATATAGCGCACCAAAAAGTTGAGCCTCCACATTTCATGGGATCGTACTGGCCCCATGTTTATTTGAATTTTATAGCACGGCCACCATTTATGTTTAAATCACTTCCTTTTATTTCGTCATCCATTCTTGTTATATAGCACGATGCATACGTCATCCGTACTTATATTGCACTTTACGAATTAAAGGGGTTTTAAAAAATAACATAAATATATAGTACAATGATCGCCAGGCTATTACCAATATCATTCTCTGAATTAGAGATGGGCAAGTTTAGTAAAGTATTATTATTTATCAGGGGGTTTCAGAGTTAACTTATTTTGAAAATAAATGGGAGTTTGAAAAGTCCTATTTTTGTTTTGAAATTTCGAAA